GTTTTAGAAATGCTTGTTATTTTATAATTTTATTTATTAATTTTTCATATTATTATTTTTATGTTATTTTATATTATTTTTTATAACATTTTTTTATTATTTTTTTATTCATAATATTTTTTATAAAATTTCTTTATTAAGTTTTTAAAATTTTTTATTATTATTTTTATATTATTTTTTTTTTTGCTTATTTTTTATATAATTTTTTTATTTCACTTTTTTATATTACATTTTTTATATTATTAATTTTTATATTATTTTTTTTATATTATTTTATTTATTTCTTTTTTATATAATTTATTTAAGATTTTTCATTATTTTTGTATTATGATTTTTATTTTCTTTTGTATTATTTTTTTAAATTTTTTTATCCAATTTAATTTTTTTATTTTATTTTTTTTAACTTTTTTATTATCTTTTTATATTATTTTCTTTTCATATTATTATTTATATTATTTTTTATAACATTTTTTCTTGTACAGTATTTATTTCATATAATTTCTTTTAATTTTTTTTTTACAATTTTTTTATTCTTTTATTTATAATATTTTTTATATTTTTATTTATATTATTTTTTATATATTTTTCTTTTATATTACTTTATATTTTGTTATCTTCTTTTGTATAAATTTTTATATTCCTTTATAGTATTTTTTTAGTATTTTTTATCAAACTTATTATTTTTAATTATAATTTTTTATTTATTCAATTTCTTTTTTATTTTTTATTTTTTTTTTTACTATTTATTTTAATATTTTTTTAATATTTCTTTATTATTTTTATTAAACAACTTTTTACTTCAGCAATTAATTTTTTTTATATAATATTTTTTTATTTTCTTATATTTTTACTATATTTTCTATACATTTATATTAATTAATTTTTTTAATATCTTTTTTGTATAATTTTTTATATTCTTTCATAATATTTTTTATTATGTTTTAAATATTTTTTATAACTTTTTTTTAATAATTTTTATTATCTTTTTTTGTATAACTTTTTATATTCTTTTATAAAGTTTTTTACATTACTTTAATGTTATTTTTCAATATATTTTATTATTTCTTACTAATTTTTAATATTTTTTTAATATATTTTTTGATATTTTTAATATTTTATATATTTTTTATAATATTTTTTATTTTTTATTATTTTATTGTTATTTTTTATTATTTTATTGTTATTTTTTATTATTATTTTATTGTTATTATTTTATTATTATTTTTCTATTGTTATTTTTTATTCTTATTGTTTTTTTGTATTATTTTTTTATTATAATTTTTTATAACTATGGTTTTTTTATTAATATCTTCTTTAATTTGTATCATTATTTTTTTATTTTCTATTATTATTTTTTTATTATTTTTATTTAATTTTTTAATATTTTTAATTTTTTATCTTATTTTTTTTTATAAAATTTTTTTTAATTGTATATATTATGTATATATTATTTTTTGTTTTTTATCTTGTTTTTTTTTTTTTAAATATTATTTTCTTTTATTTCTTTCTTTACCTTTCATATTATTCTTTAATGTTATTTTTCATATAACATTTTGTTGTTTTGTTTATCATATTATTTTTTTTACTTTATTTTTTATATAATTCTGTTATACATATATTCTTTTTAATAATCTTTCCGAAATGCACAGAATCGGCCGTTCGTCGCTAAGAAAATAATTAAATTCCCACAAAGTAAAACAAAATTTAAAGCGTCTAAACTTTGCCATGCTGCTTGTAACGGCACGTAAATTTTGCCTAGTTTTAGGCGCATTACGACTTCTCTTTAAATTATATAAATGAGAAAAAAATGCATCGTAGATATGTTTTCAAAAGACCTTTGTTATAAGAAAAAATTACATGTAATAAATGTATGTATGTGTGTATAAAAAATGCTTAAATAAAATATATATATATGAATATAACTTTATTATATATTATTATATATATTTTTGATTTGTTAATAATACATGATGGGTGGTTTTGTTTAAAATTAAGTATTTTACATTTTTTGCAAGAAATATACATATATTTTTCTTAAAAAAAAAAAAATAGCATTAATGCATACATGATAAATGCGTTATTTCAAATGAATGAGGTGAATAAATTTAAAATACAATAATTTTGAAGCATGAAAAATGAAGTTAAGAAAGGAAATATTAATTAATATTACAGCATAAATGCATATATATGTATATACATATGAAAGTAGACGTGTATTTTTACGAGTAGTTCGTATCTTTGGTTTTAGGTGTGGACAATACAGTTGAGAAATCGGTTAGGCAAAATATAAAAAAACAACTTATTATATAAATAAAAAAAAGGCAAACAATTGCATGATATTTGTTTGTACATATGTACATATACATACATTTAGTATATGAGTGTTGTGTTGCTTAGCTATTAATTTTGTTATTCTAATAATGAAATATAAATGTATTTAAAATTTGTTTACAATTTTTAGTAAAAATAATTTGTTTTGTAATTGCATAGTAAAATAAATACCAACAAATATTATTTCACTATTAAAACCAATTTATGATTTAGGTTTTTAAAATTAATAAAAAAAATGCATTAGAAATAGAAAATATCTTCACAAAAAAAAAGCAAAATTTTGAGTAAATAAACTTGTAACTTGTCAGAAATTGTACTTTTTACAATATTCAACATTTTTCCCCCTCCATATTGTTGCTAAATGAATGAAGAAAAGTGAGATGTGAAACGCTGAGCAACTAATAATTTTGCACCACATATTTTTTCAATATCATTAAATCTAAAATTTGACAAATGTAAAAAAAAAAAAAAATAACCGTTAATTGAAAATGCGCTAGCAAGAGCAATTTAACTTACAGAAGACAAACAAATATTTGTTCATATAAAATTTTTTTTAAATTTTGTAATGTTAAAAGACAATTTCTAAATATTTTTGTTTTAAAATATGCCGACTATTTTCAAAAGTATAGTATATGTATGTATGTATTATATATTAACATGATTAGTCGGCTCATTACGTCCGATTGAGGGTTCATCGCTATGCTAGTATAATTTTTCATTTTCACTAATTTCGCTACATTTTTTCTTACTTTGTTATAATAGTTGATGAAACGCATGCGTAACATTGGTTTTTGAGAAAAATTTAAAATATCGCTATGCAAATGTTGCACACAAATTTTACTAAGTTATATGTATGTACATATGTATGTAACTAGTTTACTTTATTTATGATCTTACTTAATGCAATAACTACTAATTAATTTCTTGAATGGAGGAGGGCAAGAGTAACAACACTCAAGTTTCGTTTTTTTTGCGCGTAATTTTTTCAATATTATTTTTGTTTTTAAGTTTGAAAATGCACATGACTTTTATTTTTTTTTTTTTTAACATGCAGTTAATTTAACTATGATTTATAATTTTTTTTCTTTTGAAACTACTGCATGCGGTATGCATAAAGTAAAATTAAACGAAAAGTTTAAAGACCAAAAATTATATTTTAAATATTACTTTTTCCGAGCGAAATCAAACTAGAGTTTAATTTATCGCAAACAATAAGAAATATTAATTTAATATAAAGAAGAATGAAAAAAAATATTTAATAAAAAAAAAATTAAAAAAAAAAATTGAATTTAGCGTGCACAAAAATTAAATTAAAGAAACTTTTTAAAAATATTTAAAAGGCTAAAAGATATTTGTCGTCAACACCGAAAACTGACAATGCATGAAAAATCAGTCAAAATGTAGGCAACATTATTTTTTAAAGAAAATTGTTGATTATTAAATATTAAAAATCAAACTTTTGTGTGAATTCCGACACAAAAGTACAGCATAGGAGAGCATTTTGTGAAATATGTATATGTTGGAAGTACAGAAACTTTTCGAGATCGTGATTGTTTTTAAGAGTATTTCTCACTACAAGATTACGTCTGTGAGCTGCTTCGACAGAATTTTACGTAATGAAAATGCAATCTCTGCAGACAACTTGCAAAATATGGTTCTTATTCTGTCAGACATGATGCCTTGAAGTGACGGGAGAACTTTCAGGGTAGAGTTTCAAATGCCAAAAAATTAGTTGGATGCACTAAATATGCACTTTAGAGCTCTCTAACTGAAGCACTGGCACTTTATTACACTCTAAATATGTTTGTTAAATAAACGATTTTGACAGACAATGCACTAGCGAATTCAAAAGCAACAACATGGAGGAACCAATTGAAAACGCCCCTTTTAGGGGTTCAAGAATTCACCAGCGGAAAGGTAAATTTTTAAATTGGATATTTTTTTCAACTTAAGATTTTACGCAAACACTTATTACGCCCAAGCACACAACAACAATAAAATCATTGAAATTAGCACAAAAAAAAAAAAAAAAAAAAAAAAAAAAAAAAAAAAAAAAAAAAAAAAAAAAAAAAAAAAAAAAAAAAATTAAAAGGGAAGAAAACACTTAACTAATTTTAGAGTTAAGAGGAATAATTAGTTTTACACACTTAAAATTTTATAACATTTTAGAGAGAACTATTAATTACTTACACACTTATTTACTATATTAATATTATTATATTATATTATGCATGTATGTATGTATGCTTGTTTATAATTATTATTGAAAATTAAATTAATTTGTGCTAGATAAACAAAAAAAAAACGGCGGAGCGATAGATAGTGCGTGAGCGAGAGAGGAGAGTGAAATAGATAAAATATGTGTATATGTGTGTGTTTGTGTTTTCAGAGATTTCGAATGGAGTTCAATGCAAGAAGCTACACTTCCTGCAACCAGTTTTGTTCGCGGTCAGTCGAATTTGCGCTAACGAGCAATTTGCACACATACATGCGTATGTAAGTACAACGACTCGTACGTCAGTAAGTAAGTTTGTAGAATTGTTATTATTATTAATAATTATTGATTGCATTGCCTACATTGCGCATATTAACTACTTTAACTTTTTTGTTTTTGTAATTTATGTAATAGTTTTTTTTTACGAATTTGACATCCAATTTGTATGTGGTAATTTTTTTTTTTTTAACACTAAAATAACAATATTATCCACTATATTGAGTGTTTTATGAGTTTCGTTTTCTTTCTGAAAATTGTTTGTTTAACAATACAGACAAAAAAATAAAAAATACTTGTTATTATTGGCATTTGTTATACGCAACTTGTTCATTGCTTCCATTTAGTCAGCACTCGTCAATACAAGTAAGTATATATTTATAAATTTTCGATTTGCATCTGTGAATTATGTTTGTTTGTATGTATGTAAATGTATGTATATGCATAACCATTAATCACCACAATTAATATTCGTTTCTCAATACACGACAATCACACTGCTCAAAATACCTTATGCCGCTCCACTGCTCAGTCGTAAATGAAATTACCCGAATCACAGAGTGCATCGCTATCCTCACCGAACTTGCCATTCATTGTATAACTCGAACTCGCACCATACACCCATTCTTTTTTAATGAAATCACCATCGGTGGTGGACGATGAGGTTTGATGTAGCGGTCCCAATGAGCTATGATCCAAATGAAAGTCATCATCATCGTCGGGATACAATTGTACGGGTATTGCATCGGGCATGTTATGCGGGTCAAAGAGATTTCCATATGGTTGTAGCGAATGATTCAAAGCGACATGATGATCAACCAAATCGTTATCAAAGTTTGATATACGAAACTTCGAGCTTGGCGGCGAATGTGGGGAATGGTGTGTGGAATCTTCGAACATAACCTCTTCTTTAATGAGCATTTCATTTGAATTATCACCCGAACCTGATGAGTACAGATTCGGTTCAACTTTAATAATGGCCGCGGTGGCCAAGGACGGGGAGGATTTCTCATCGTCGTCGTCATCGTCAAAATGTTGACCATTCACACGTAGTGAGCGATGATGATGACGGGAACGTGACGAATCGACAAAATCATCGAAATCGTCATCATCATCATCATCGTCCAAATGTGTCGCATGTCGACGTCGGTGGTTGTTGTTGTTGCTGTTGCTGTGATTTCGGTGGTTATTATTGCGTTGTAACGCACGGTGGTTGCTACTCGTTGATGCAGATGTGTTCAGTGACGTATTGAATTGAGACAAATGATGATTGCGCGTACTGCGTATAGTTGAGGTGCCAATAGCGGCGGATGCGAGCGACAAAGGAGCACCAGATTTGGACACAACCACTGACGAGGAACATGATGTCGACGAGGATGAGGGCGATGGCGAGGGTGAGGTGCCTGCAATGGATAATATATATAAAATAATTATAATAAGTATATATTAATATATAAAAAAAGGATTCAACAATTAAATTAAGATATGTTTTTTTTTTTTTTTTTTTTTAAATAGTTAATAATTATGATATTTTTTTATTATCAACACAAGAATTTTCTCTTACCGATTTGCTGGACTACGCTCGCTAATGTGGTGGAGAGGGTACCCGCCGCACCACCTGTAGAATGTATTATTGGCGTTTTACGTAAGAGCTGTTGTTGCAGCGTACTTTGGCTACTGCTCTGTATAACATTAGTCTGATGCTGCGTTTGTGGTTGGGATAAGCCAACGCTTTGATCATTTTGCATATAATTTTTGATGACAATTGTACGGGTGGGTGTCACCAGTAGTGGTTGTTGTCTCATTTGTTGTTGCATAAGTTCATGCGATGCGTTGGAAGATTCATTGGATGAATCCTCGCCCGTGGTGGTTGTTTGCACACTATGTATACCAGTGGCCAATGAAGATGTGGACACTATGCGACTTGTATTATTGCCGCCTTGTATATTGTCGCTCATGCCCGAGTTGTCATCTTCCATATCTTCAATTCTTTGATTTTGTATGTGACGTTGCAGCCCACTGGTGCTGGGCACATCATCCTTTGCTTGTGGCGCCAGTTTGACAATTGTAGCTGCTGGCGTGGTCGATGTTGCTGACTTTGCAGCGGATTTTTTACTTGTTCCGTGTGTATTCTGGTCGCGTTGATGTACTTGCATATGGGTTTGTAAGGAAGATTGGGTGTGTAATTTCTTTTTGCACAATGTGCACTCGAACGGAAATTCGCCGGTGTGGGTGCGTGCGTGTATTTTTAAGTTGTAGCGTTGGCCAAAACCTTTGCCACAAACGTCACATCTGAAAAGTAGGCGAGAAAAACACACATGAAAAGAAAATTACAAAGCTTTTACATCGAATTCTACTCACTTGTGTAACTTTACGCCGGAATGCAGCTTGGAATGGCCACGCAGTGATGCCAAGGCGCTGAACACTTTTCCGCAAATCTCACAAGTTAAATTAACATTTTCATTATGAATCTTTTTGTGTACTTTGAAATATTCAAAACTCATGAATTCCTTGTGACATACATCACATTTATATTTGTGTCGTTCGGATTGTTGTCCTGTGTGCACACGCATATGTTTGATGAAATTCGGCCGGAAGCGTACAACCCGTCCACATATCTGACACTCGTATGGCTTGCAGCGTAAGCAATGTTTCTCATAGTTTTTGAGTGACTTCAAAACCATATTACATATAGCACATTTCATATTATTTGCATGGCCTGAGCAATGTATGTCAAATAGTTCCTTCGACTCGAACTCTTCCGCGCAAGAAACACATTGATATGTGCCGTTTGTGGCGCTGCTGGAAGTCCTATTTGTAGCACCGCTACAATTTGCCGTCGTATTAATTGCGCTACTATTAGCCGGCGCTGAGGCTGCTGTTGTAACTACCACTGTGGAAGACGCAACGTGACCAGAAGACGATAATGGAGATGACGATGAGTTCGATGGGGATGTAGATTGGGCTGATGTGGATGTCAATGCGGGCATTACGGCTGGCATTGTTGTAGCCGCAGACGCTTCCACGTTACTAGCTGTCAAAGGTGGTAATGTTGGCATCGTGGCAACCGCTGATGGACTAGACGTGACCACAGTCATTTGTGTACCAGTATTTGCCACAGGTGTTGCCTGAAGAATGAGCTGTGTTTGGCCACTACCAGGAACACCCTGTTGTACGACATTTAAGACAGTCATAGGACTGCGACTTATCACAGCCGGCATACGTACAAATGTAGCGCCGGTCATTCCGCCCATTGTATTACTGATATACACAGGACGACGTTGAAGTTGTGCCAATGCTTCTGAAACTGGCACGGTTACTGTACGGCCGGTTGCCGTTGTACCCACAATTGAACCGGCCGGCAAAACTATTTGCTGTGGCTGACCGGCTGTTAAATGCGTATGATGGGTGGTTATTGTTGGCGTACTTATATAATTTATACCACCAGTTCTTATATACTCCTGTTCTCCATTATCTATTTGTTCCATTTTTATATTCGCATGTTGAAGATGAAGCTGATTCTCCTCAGCTTCAGCTTCTTGTTCCTCTTCTTCTATATCTTGAAGATTTTCATCATTTAATTCTGGATCCGCTTCTTCTTCCTTAATCATATTAGCAGCAGGAGTAGTTTGTATTATGATCCGACGACCATTCAGTAGATGATGTTGCGCCATTGTTTGTGTTCCTGCAATTGACACAATACCTTCACTGGTTGCATGTGCTCTTGAGAAGTCGGAAGCGCTTGTTACTATTAAATTCGGTGGGTTTTGCAATTTAATGGTAGTGTTAGGGTTAACGCTACTTATTCTCTCTACATTTGCAGAAATATCGCCATTTATTATGTCACCGTCATGCTCCATAGGAGCCTCTTGTAATATAAATTCGATTTGTTGTGAAAGTGCGCTGTCATTCATGGCAATTAAATTATCTAAATCCTTGCTACTAACTAATGAGCTACCGCCATTATGATCACTGACAAAGAGAGATGGCAAAGTATTGCCCACGACACCACTATGAGAAGTTGTGCTATTAGTAATATTTGCGGCGCTGCTGGCCATTTCCATTCCTATGTCCAATGTGAAATTATTACTGCCGCCTATGTAATAATTATAACTGTATCTTTATTAGTTTTGTAATAATTGTTTTTAGATTACTTTAACAATCACTAATAATATAACTCTTCTTTTCGTCTGTCTCTTTAATTTCTCTTCGGTCAGTTAAGTGTTTTCGCAGCATTCAGCCTCCACGCTGAAAATTTTTAATGTCCCGCATTTTCACACCATTTTATTGCGTTTCGTTTTTTCCTTTCGACTTTCGCGCACTCAATTCACCTTCACCTTTTCCTTTTCCCACTGCTTCTTCTCAAATTCCACTTCCACTTGTGCTTCTACTACGGCTCGCTTTTGCGTTTATTGATTTCCTTTTTGTTTGAGATTTTGTGCGGTCTCCGCGGGTGTGTGTGCGTTTGATTGTGTGCGCGTGTGGGAAAATTTATAGCAAATAATTTTTTCATACAAAATTTATAAAACTCTTTCCTTCCCCACTAATTCACAACGTTCATTTCAATATGTTTGCACTTAAAACACTTTATCACTTTAATTATCTTATTTTAAATGAGCAGTTATTCAGAAATTGAAAATTTCCCGTGCGCTTTGATTTTCACTGCGTTTTTTCGTCCTTCTTGCATTGTTCTGTTCAAATTTTCACTGCGCCCCCTCACCGAGATTTTGTCATCTCTTTGTTTTCGTTTATTCTATTTCGCTTGTTCCCTTTCGTAAGAAACAGGTTTGTATTTTTAAGTACCTATACGCAGAGTTAAATGCAAAATATTTTCGTACTAAACGAGACTAAAAAACTAAAAAATTTAAGTAAATTTAATAATTTTAATATCAATTATGATTATTTATATCAGTAAATAATACAAATTAAATTTTGGAGTATCTAGGGTTGTCCATAAACCACGTAGCCCGTCTAATAATGCATGGTTGGTTTATATATGCTAAATTGTGGAAGCCAGGGATGTTTTCCGAGGACGCAATTATCTATTATAAGTAAACAGGTATTATTTTGATTAGCTTGCTATTACGGTACACTTCATTTTTGTAAAAACAACGCCAGTAAAAAAATGGAGCAATACAAACTTCCTTAACGTATTGAAACTATTTAAAGACACTATAATAATTTTCCCACTCGTTACCCACGTCAATAAGCCAAACTGTCCCATCTGAGATTCGGAAAACCTAAGATCTATTTCAGGAAAGCCTTTCCATTCTCAACGAATAACTCCTTGGCGCGGTTTATGGTCCGATAGGTATTATTGGACCTTATTTTCGCGAAAAAGACTTTCAATGATACAACACTACGTGCAATATAATAAACGAAAACATCGATCTTTCTTTGAATATCAAACTAACACCCCTTAAGGGAAACCCCTGCTTATTATTTATAAACTATTTCTAACTGCTACAAATAGTTTAAAAAGCATATATATTTAAAAATTACTCAAACAATAATATAGTATATTTTTCACTTAAAATTAAATATTTGTAATATGTACCACGAGAAGTTACAGAAAATATCATGTTGAACTACATGACGTGAGAAAAGGGTTCGGAAAGGTGTAAATTATGACTACTTGATTGATGAACAATCCCTGGTTTACATTTCTAAATACTGGAAGCTTTAGATATCCCATATCGCATTATAACACACGCATAAAAGTGGCAATTGTTAAAAGAGTAATACCAAGTTCCTAAATTCTACTACAAGTTTTCAAAATGCTCCTAAATACTTTCTAAGTCTGCCTTTTAAATTTCTACTTTGCCATGTAAACCTAACCTGCTGCTACAACCCTTCTAAAATCATCAAATTTTCCTTTTTACATTTCGCGTCTTCGGCATATTCTCGCGTTGTTCTTTTCTATTTGCACGTTGTTTGCATTGTTTCTATTATCCATCTTTTACACATTTTACTGCACCATATTCGCTTTATTAGCGCTTCTTTTCGATTGCGCTTTATTGACACATTCTTCTAGGCCCTAAATCACCATTCCCTTTTTTTATTCACTCATTCATTTTCATTCCTCCTTTTTAATTTTTTTTTATCCTTTTCAGTTATGCTCAATAGCCCTCCATTGTGGCCTTTTTCAGCCATCTAAGTTAGGAATTTATAAAACGCTTTACCACCCTTTATTCAATACGTACATGAACGTTGCAATATATTTCAACTTTTTATGAGTTTTTACATAAGTTAACACTATATATCCTATTTACAATCAAACTTTTTCGCAACGAAAACTTTTCGCTGTTCACTTTCTTCCCTGATCCGACATCCGCAGGGTATTGCCAGAGTAGAGTGATATTTTGTGTGCAGTAAAGGTTGCAAATGCAGATGATTAGAGTTTTTTATTAGATTTTATGAATGAAAAGTATTTGAGAAGAGTTTGGGAATTATATTTAGTGCGGTAAATTATAATAATAAATTGTTTGCTTGAAGAATATAAAAAAATTATTAGCAATTCTATTAAACGTAGGACGTCGCCCAAAGCTCTTGCTAGTTAGAGTAGAGGGCGCTACTAACAGAACGTTACAAATGTGACAGGGTGTTTCTAAAATTGTAAACATATATAATATATATCTAATTTAGAAAATAATAATATATGTATTTATTTATTGCATTTTACTGTCTCTTTGAAGCTATAGTAGATGAGTTCTTATTTGACCACCAGTCTTTTTACGTTGACATATTGATGGAACCCTCATTAAAAGAACTGGCTGAAGGCGCAGAAAATTTTTTTAAACTTTTAAGCTTTGATGCATATATAAATTAATTGTCAAAGTGGGAAGGTGACAATTTATGGTAGACAATAGGCGTCAAGCAGTAAATTCAGGTATATATATTTAAGGTCGTCAGCAATAACAGATCTTCATTGTCTATTTATTTTGGAGCACCACATTATAGACCCCCGTGATCGGTGAAAACACTTGTTTTTATCAACCATATTAATCTGCTTGAATCTCCATTTGTGAAGACAATATTTTCATTTTTCTTTCATTTTATAAAAACCGAAACAAGAGTCTATAGACCTTGGACCTTAATTTATTAATCTGCTATTTGTATTAATAATCTGCATCCACATAATGTAATGATAACTTGTATACAACAAACAAAGGCTGATAGCTGTCAAACCCATTAACTACGTAATCATGTTCTTCAATTTATCGGAATTTATTCTGAATCCGATTCCGGTTTGTCGGATTGGCTTTTTGTTCGAATATCGTAACTCCGAGAGGATTGCGAGCACTTTTTTTGAGGTCGAGTCGGATATCCACATCGCTATGCAATCAATTCCGATTGTTTTTCATATCAATCCCGGAAGTCTCATTCATTCCAACAATCGATCACTTAACATCGATAATTTAATTGCATCAGCCACCCTATTCAACAGTCGACCAAATATTATCTCGTACTTTTCTTGCAACCTGCCAATTGAGATATTTCGCTCTGCTAGTTACATTGGTTATGCGCCTGCAAATTACCCAGCACAAATTGTTTTGTTGTTGCGGTGAGCGGTTGGTTCGCAGCTACGGTATTGTAACGTTGACGACGGCAGTGAAAAGACAACGACGTTGAGCCCAGACTTTTTAGCATTACAATTATTGTAAAGTGTCTGATTCTGGTTGGAAGTGCCGCACACAGCATAAAAATTAAATAATTTAAAACACACAACACAGTTAAAAAGAAACAGCGTTTGCAACCTTCTAAATTCAAACATTTCACGCTGCGTGTGTGTTCAACGTCAAAGGAACAACATTTTGTTGTTGTAAGCTGCACAAAGCTGCAGTGTTTATTGGTCGAGTGTGCGATTTTTTTTTGTTTGTGATTGCGAGAGCTCGGGAAATTCGTGTAAATCGATTTATATAGGAGAAAATTGTAGAGAAAGGATTTTAAATAAATACAAATCGTGAAAATTTTCCAAAGTGAAAACTCTAACTGCAAACAGCAGCATAAATATAAGTTAACAAATAATAACATAAATAAAAGTATGAATCGAGTGCTACTATGAAAAAGGCATAAAACAAATTGCTCACTGTGTTGCTAATGTTGTTGTTACAATTGCGACAGATCGCTGTTTTCGCTGCCACACACATTTTGCCAACAACTTTTAATTCTTCTCTACACTAAATGAAAAATTGCCTCATTCAAGGCAAAAAGCTAAAGAGGTGAGAAAAGCAAAAAAGAAAAAAGTGGAAAATTAAGTTGATTGAAAAAGTAATATACAGCTGTGCTAACCCGAAATTGTGTATAGTTTTTGTTTGTAATTGGAAAATTTGTAAAACAAAACAAATTCCAATACCTACTTATATATATATATATATTTGCTTAAGGCAAAGAAATTAAACAAAGTTGTTTAATATCTGCAATTTGGTGCTTTGCTGTGAAAAAAATGTAATGTAAAAACAAAAATTGTGCAGTGAAATTGATTTGAGAAAAATGCAAAGAAAAAATATCTAGTTAAAGCGCATAGCAAAAGCAGTGAGAGCGCGCAACAGCAGCTGAGAGAGTTGTTTTCGCTGCTGCTATAATTGTGCACATCTGTATGAATGAGTGTCTATTGGTGGTGCAGTATTGGAAAACAACTGAAGAAGTCTTAAAAAAAAAGAAATAAATAAATAAATATAAAAGAGAGCAACAACTAACAAAACAAATTAAGTTTTTCACATCAACACATGTACCTAATTCATTTCTAATTATTTATTATTTATTATTTTGCTGAGACCTCAGAGTCTTCCACATTATTAAAGTGTTGAAATAATAGAAATTTTCTTTGCTTATTAATATATATCTACTGGACTCACTAGCCGCCCACACCCATTATGTTTTGATATTAAATTGTATCTGTATATATTGACATATGTGTGTACTTACGTATGCGCATATTGTTTACTGTTTTTTTTTCGTGCCTCAATTCTTTTATTTATTTACAACTGAGACTCTTAAAGCCTATCACATCAGAGTACCGAGGACACAGACGTCATTGGTGCGTTGCTGTGGCCCATTGCCATAAATATTACATACAGATTTACAAATTACACAAATATAAGCTAAAAATAAATAAAATTTCAATGTAATGTGCTATGAAGTGTTAATTCCCTAAATTTTCCATTTGAACAAGTTTATTTCAAAGATTTTCAAGGTCACATAATGGATGTTGAAGATTAGCTTAAACTTTGAAACCGATCTGAGTCTCGTGTACACAGAAATAAAAGCGACTCAAATTTGTAATATTTTTTTCAGTTTATGCTTCTTTTATTTTCTATAATATATTTTTTTATTTATTTTAATTTTCTAATAGCAAAAATAAGTTTAAAAAGTTGTGTGTTTGCCTTCCAAATAGTTTTTGAAATAACTCAGCACGAAAATATTATAGTTTTCGCTCAAGGTAAACAAAATAAAATATCGTCGGAAGTAAAATAAAAAAAAAAAAATCTAAAAATAGCTTCGTGATATTGTCCGCGACGTTAAAGTAGCAGCGAAAATGTCGACAACTTCGTCCATTGAAACACCCACATCTCCGAGTGCTCCATTGCCAACCCATCAAACACATCATAATCACCATCACCGGTATCAACATCAACCTCAACAACATCAATATCAATATCAACAACATCAGCATCCACATCATCCGCATCAACATACTACCACAGCAATTGTTGTCAGCGCTGGCGTTGGCCCTGGTTCTGGCTCTAGTTCAGGGCATCATCACACCAATTCGACCAATTCGGCTAATAATTTCACTCAATTCAGCCGTCATCGCACCAACTCATCATCGTCTTCATCCAATAACTCCTTCACTGGCGTCATTGGGGTTAGCTCCATGAAGTCTGGCACAGCAGTAGCTAACACTAATAACGGCAACGGTAGCGGCAGCGGCAATAGCAATAGCAGCGCCAATTCAAACGGTAGTAATGGCAATAACTATAAACCGAATGGTAGCATTAACGACGGCAGCAGCAATGGAAGCTTCAGGGGTAACGGTAGTGGTGGCCAAATACACAATCAATCGACCCACTCACTACTGACCCCGTCATCGTCGACATCCTCATCGCCTTCAGTATCGGCCTCGGCCTCCACATCGGCTGCTGTACATCATTCACATCCGTACCAACAACAACAGCAACAGCAGCAGCAGCAGCCACATCAGCAGCATCAGCAACAACAACAACAACAGCAACAGCAACAATACTCTTTATATTCACAACGCGGCATTGCAAGGCCATCAACGTCATTCTCAACCCCTGACGGCACTGTAACCGCTGTGACCGTCACCACCATCTCGACGAACACGCCGGGCAGCATGAAACGCCATCACACCGATTTGTCGGTCTGTTCATCCGGCTCATCATCGTCTTGCTGCTCTAGCACCGGTTCGGTTTCGGCAGTCGGAGTCATGGGCGCCGCTGGCTCCACAGTGAATGCTGCCATCGTTACTACACCAGCTGTGGTAAGCAGCAGCGGCGGTGCAGTGATTACGCAGAAATTGAGCAGGACAATTCCATCAGATAAGGTGAGTGCTGAGTAAGTGAGTGAGTTAGCGAGTAAGCGAGTAAGTGAGTGAGTGAGTGAAGGCCGAATTAGTGCATGAGTGATGAGTTTGACCAACTAATCGATAAATATATATATTTATTTTTTTTACAAGAAAGATTAATAAATGAGCTATGGGCGCAACCGAAAACCCTCCCCCCATTATAGGCTTAGTACCACCAATTAATTTATAGCTCAGCTGGATTTTTTTTAAATTCCTCTTGGCATAATGCGCAACGATAATTATGTGCTTTTAGGCGCACAGCTGTGTTTCGCTCGTTTATTGTGGTAATTTTTTTTGGTTTTGTTTTTGTTTTTTTCTTCACCAAATTGTTGTTATTGCTGTATCTATTTATGTGCGCATTTCTTTTTGGTATTTACCTTGTCCTGTTTACCGCTCACTGCTCAGCGTATTGATTTTTGCGTCTCCTTGCAATGAGAGAATATTTCAATGTTAACGTTGTGTGAGATTTTAGGCGCATGAAGAAATAAATTCAGGGCCAAGAGTGCAGCGCGTATTGGCCTTCAAAAATTCTATGCTGGTTGGTAACAAGCTGCGTGCTGATGTTCTGTGGGTGGGTGCTGCATGGCACATGTGACAATCATTTGCGAGTATATGTATGTGTGTGTTGCATATGTATGAGTCTGTCTGTATGTGTGCGCGCCACTGTGGGTAATCTTATGCAAAGGTCGTTTTATTCGTACATACAAGCAAACGTTTTTTCAATCTACACACATACTTATTTATTTATGAGGGTGGTGCAAATGTTCAATCGACATTCGATCGGTAATTGACGGTTAACAAGAATTTCATGAAAGGTAAATTTATTTATTAAAATCTTCTTACATAATAGACGAAATTATAATTGAAATTAAAAAAATTATATTTAAACCTTTTGGCAATCATATGTAAATAATAAAAAACTTCAAAAAAAAGAGAGTAGTCTAACTGTGAGAAATGATTGGGTGTCTCTTCGAAAATTTTATTACTCTTTTCAAAGACAATTCTAATCTCTTTATAGCGACTTTTTTGTAGCGGCGCCTGAATGTAGGCAACTCTTTTTAAACACTACATATAAACTCCACAACTATTATATTTGTTATCGCCACGAAGGCAAAACTTTTGGAAAACAGGTTTCTTTACGAGAAAATTCTGGAAATTCCCCCCATTTCGCTCTCTAGTGAAAGCATTTTTAACTAGCGTTGAATTCACCATAATAATATGTTACTCTTTCGCCGCTCGGTTTTTTGTACAGCCCCTCAAAGTAGGCAAGGTTTTTTCAACATTACCTATAATCGCACAAAAGTTTACATTAATTATTATTTATTATTTATTAATTAATTATGATTTATTCACGCAGCAGACATGGTGCCTTAAATTAGGCAACATTTAGAAAATAGTTTTCTTTACATGAATATAAGAAAGCCAACTATGAAAGATAAGAATTTCCATCCTTATACAAGTTAGTTTTTCATAAATATATTGAATTCTTTTAATCTTTTTGAAACAGCGCCTAAATGTAGGCAGCATTCATTACCTCAATAATTCTGGATTTCATTAATACACAACTTGTACGTTCGATGGGCGCAAGAAAAGCTGATATGATTTAAAACTTAATTGTTATTAATTCACTGTACAGTGAAGGCGCCTAGAAGTAGGCAACCTTTTAGATATGACCTACCTATATATAATAATTACCTCCCTGCTGATATTAAAGATATTTTCTTTAAACTTTTATTTTAATTTTTGGCAATAACAAGAAATGGCAAGGTGCTATATCCGGAGAATATGGTGCTGGACGTTTTTCTTCGATCCCAGAGATGGCAATAAAATTACTCGTCATTTCAGCATGATGTAAAAAGTACAGCCGCGAATCCTCTTTCTTTCTATTTTCCAACAAATTATTAAAAACTTTTGGTAAGCACTCCTCAGTGTACCATTTTACAGGTACCAGTTACCATCTGACCCCTTTCCAGTGGAATAGCAGCAACGATTTTAGATCGGGTGAAGTAAACCGAAATCATTAATCAAAATGCACTCGAGCCTATTTTTGGGGCTCATTTAAAATTCGAGCCGATTTCTTCGTGTATTCATTTTTTGTGTCAATTGTGTGTCCATCTTAATTTTGGACTTCACCAGAAGATTTTGTTCGACCGTCTGTATTTGTGGATATCGGCCAGATTGATCGACAACATCAAATATGAGGATTCGAGTCAAAAAACCGCTGAAAAATCATTAAAAAGTGTGTAATTTGACAATCTAAATGTACGGAAAATCATCGAAGTCGGAGGACTATATCATAGAGCTCCCATACAAGCGATTTATACGGATAGGATAACTAAATAATCCATTATATTTCTAATAATTTGAAGGCTTTACCGATTTATGTCAAACATGCCTTCAAAGATGAACAACTGGAAGCATTGCTTGATGAAGATTCGTGCCAAACCCAAGAACAGCTTGCCGAATCGTTGAGAGTGAGTCAGCAAGCCATTTCAAAACGTCTCAAGGCCCTGGGCATGATTCTGAAAGAAGGAAACTGGGTGCCATACGAGTTGAAACCGAGGGCCATTGAGCGCCGTCTATGCTTATGTGAGCAATCGCTTCAAAGACAAAATCGTAAGGGGTTTTTACATCGAATCGTAACCGGTGATGAAAAGTGGGTTCGATACTATAATCCTAAACGCAGAAAATCATGGGGAAAGCCCGGGCATGCTTCTTCGTTGAAGGCAAAACCGAATATTCACGGCGTCAAGGTTATGATTTGTATTTGGTTGGATCAGCTTGGTGTGATTTACTACGAGCTCTTAAAACCGGGTGAAACCATCACAGGAGATCGCAACCGAACGCAACTGATGCGCCTTAGTCGCGCGCTAAAAGAAAAGCGGCCACAATATCAAGAGCGACATGACAAAGTCATCCTCCAACACGACAATGCTCGGCCTCACGTCACAAAAGTGGTCAAAAAGTACCTGGAAACGCTGAAATGGGAAGTCTTGCCCACCCGCCGTATTCCCCAGATGTCGCCCCTTCTGACTTCTACCTATTCCGTTCGATGGCACACGGCCTGGCAGAACAACATTTTCAATCCTTCGAAGAATTGCGAAAATGGATTGCTTCATGGATAGCGTCAAAAGAGGACTCCTTTTTTCCAGCCGGGATCCGAAAATTGCCGGAAAGATGGGAGAAAGTTGTCGCTAGCAAAGGAAAATATTTTGAATAATATATCTGTAAGCACTTTTTCGCAATAAAGCTTTTAATTTTGGGAAAAAACGGCGGAAGCAAAGTTGTACACCTGATATTATATTTTATTTTATTGTAATTAATTTAATTTTTTTCTCTGCATTTTATTTTATCTCAATTGTTCTATTTTATTTTATTTTAATTTAATGTATTTTATTTAAAATAATTTTTTATTTAACTCTAATTTATGTAAAATTACATACGTACATACATTTTCAATATTTTTTATTTTTGTTTATATGTAATTTATAATTTAATTCTATTTTCTTTTATTCATTTAATTTAATTTTATTCCATTCTTTATCTGTTTGTTATATTACGTTTTATGAAAATTTTTTTTTAGTTTATTTTATCCCCAATATTTTATCTGGTTCATTTTATTTGATTTATTTCATTTTATTAAAGTTTTAATTTCATTTCATTAATTTTTATTCAATTTTTTGTTAGTTTTTTTATTTCTACTTATTTTAATTTATTTTACATAATTATATTTTATTTTATTGTAGTTAATTTTAGTTTATGTCCCTTCATTTTATTTTAATTTTATCCCAATACTTTTTTTTTTTGATTTGTTTTAATAAATTTTTCATTTAATTTTTTTATTATTTCATTCCTAATTTTATTTCCATTTCATTTATATTTTTTTATTTAATTTTATTGTTATTTATCCCAATATATTTTTTTATTCATTTTTATTTTAGATTTTTATTTATTTTTATTAAATAACATTAATAGTTATTCATTTCATGTAAATATTTTTATACAATTTTTTTTTTTAGTTTTTTTCTAATTTAATTTTTTCTTGGCAAATTATACATATACGCACGTACATATATGTACATACAACACTCCCACATGCGTTTTTACACACATTTAGTTCTTTTTACCCGCGCCAATAACTCGGCGCGACATCCCCAAAGCTTAATCTCAATTACCGCTGTCAAACGAACAAATTTTTTCCATTGAGTTTTGAATTGAAGACAGCCTTTGTGCTGGTCATACGTCGTCCCCAGCAAGCCATCCCATCTAGCAGACGAGCACTCAGCTCTGCTCAGCTCAGCTTCTTTCGTGCCGTTTTTGTTTATGCCGACTTTAAGTACCAACTAAAATAGGGAGCGAAAAAACTGGAGGGGCCATAAAGTACATAAATTAGAAAAAAAAATAAAAATAATAGTCAAAGCCAACAACTCACAAACTTCTGTCACCACAATTAACAACAACAAACAATTACAGCAGCCACAGAAATTCTTATATTTTTTTTTTTAAGGTGGAAAAAATTAAAGAAAAAAACTTCAAAAAGAAAAAACAAAACAAAAAATGGAAAAGAAGTCAAAGCATAGCAAGAAAAACTGGGTGTATAAAAATATGTTGTTCCACTTAACTCAATACCTGCTGCTGGTACTTCAGTTTCAGCTGGCACTGCTGCTGCTGCTGCTGCTATGCAACCCCCCAAGGAATACGATGCCCAACAGTCAAGTGGAGTAAAGAGTCGGCAGTCGGCAGTCGACAGTCGGCAAATTAGTGCACAGCTGGTGCGGTAGCGGCTGAGAAGGACTTATGTTTATACCTATATATGTATGTACGCTTGCACTCATTTCGTTGCAAGAGGAGCAGAATATCATCTGAGTGTGTTTGTGTGTATTTGTGCGCTTGTATGTATTTATGAAATGTGAAGGATAAGCAAGGATAAACCTCCTTTTCTGTTGTACCTTTGCTTTCGATGCGGAGCAATTTTTCAT